TTGTCCCATGCACAACACACTCCCTCGACTTTATGTTCGAGTCTTTCGCGAAGATCGGGTGGGTCGGTGCAATTATGAAAAGGGCATCGGAGCTTGCAAAGTTCTTCACGAACCATTCTCGGGTGCGGGACCTCTTGATCCACTACTCCAATGGCGGTGTAGTGTCAAAACCGGGTGCGACCCGGTTTGCCACGAACTTCATCATGTTGTCAAGCCTGCACAGGTTGTATTTGTCGCTGCGTGCGTGTGTGAGAGATGATGACTGGAAGCCAGCGACCCTGCACACTTCGTTGCGCGATCTGTTTGTGAAGGCGACGCATTCCATCTTGGACGACACCTTATGAGCAGATGTCGAGAAGGTGATGCAGACGTCCAAGAACCTGCTCAAACTTTTGAAGAAGGTCGATGGCACGGGCCCCACCATTAGCAAGGTGTATGCCAGTATGGACAACGCAGTGGAGAAACTAAGGGAGACCAAGCACTTTGCCGAAGCGGAGAAAGACGAACTCGAGGAGACCATCATGCGGCGCTGGAATGCAATGACATCACCGCTACACTGTGCTGCTCTGCTCTTGGATCCGAAGTACAAAGCATCATGGCCAGAAACGGATGCAGAGGTTGCAGATGGGTTTTGGACGTGGCTTTACTCGTGGTGCAAAGAGTCGTCGTTTGTTGAGGTCGACGCAGAGGTTTGTTGTTGGATTGAGGGCACAAGGGGACACAATTGCGAAGATGCAAGGATGCAGGCCTGTCTGATGCAGTTGGCGAGGTGGTGGAGGAAGTGGTGCAGTGACATGCCCATCCTCGAGAAGCAAGCCGTTCGTGTGCTTGGACAAGCATCCTCCTCCTCTTGTTGCGAGAGGAACTGGAGCTTGTTCGAACAAATTCATAGTCGTCTCCGTAACAACCTCGGCGCCATCAAGCTTAGCACGCTGGTTTTCAACAGATGGAACCAGCGTTTGTTGGATGCGTTGATCAAGAAGCCGAAGGCTGATAAGGATTCACCGCAATGGGAAGAGGATGAACCGGTGGAAGATCTCACACGGGATGAGATGGCCAAGGATGCACGAATGCGGTTGGCGGAGTGGCGTGCCCGGCTGCACAGAACAGAGTCGGTTAGTGATGCAGGTGAGAACGATGACTCAGGCTCYGACGACGACGACAATCCTGTTGAAGCACCACAAGCGCCTATTCCAGAGGAGGTCACACTCCAGCGTCATCGGCTGCACAGCAATCTGCTTGAAATCGAGAGACAACTCAACGAGTTGTGAAGGAAGGCCACAAAGGCTTCCAAGTTTCTAGCCCGGCAACATTTGCATGAGTTGGATCAGGCCACAAGGACCATGACCATTGAGCAAGCCAACAAATACAAAGCTGCCAGGGCAATTGCATCCGCACCACCCTCGGTCCCGGCCAAACAAGGGAGAGGGAGACCTCGGAAGGAGGTTGCAACTCGAGGCGGGACAGGTGATGAGGAGGCTCAGGCGTGGAAGGTGGCAATTTGGCAGAAGGTCCTGCACCCGCACGTGTCACAAGAAAGTGGGGACAACCGCAGAAGCAGCCCGTGCAAGAGGAGGAGGAAGCAGCGCCAGAAGGGACAAGCAGCAATGAAAGTGGTGGCGGCGCCAATGAAAATGATGGCGGCACCAACGAAAGTGATGGCAGCGACGATGGTGACGACAGGAATGGTGGCTGTGATGGGACTGATCGCAGTGGCAAGGAGGACGAAGGCGAAGGCGACGAGAAAGATGGTTGTTCATCGGAAGAAGAGGGCGACTCCGAATCAGAACCCCTGTCTAAATTGCGCAAGACATCCCACTGACGAGCGCGCGCGTGTGTGTGAGAGAGAGAGAGAGAGAGAGAGAGAGAGAGAGAGAGAGAGAGAGAGAGAGCACTGACAGTGTTGGTAGTCTGAATACTCTTCAAGTTCAAACTTCTAAGTTATTTAAACTTTTTCAAACTTTTTTGATTTTTTATTTTTTTTTCCTGTTTTTTTAGTCTTGCGCCTGCTTTGCACTGTTCAGAACTCTGCATGTTTGGTAGCTCAATGTGGTTGTTGATTTGCAGCAAAGCAGGTGCTCTGCTGCATGAACT